ATCACCTCATTTGGCCAAGGTGAAATGACTGACTGTCCTTTCTGCTAAGTGTTTCCTGTCTTTCCTAGAATGGGTGGTCTTTCTGACAGACCATCTTCCATCTCTCTGAATCCAGCCTTATGTTGTACAGTAGCTGTGATCATTCCTGTTGATTCTCTGGAAAAGACTTATTTTTTTATACAGTTCTGAATAGGCAGAGGAGCTCGCTTTGATCTTTCACCTTGTACACAAGCAGTAAGAATTTGCTAATCACATCCAGCTTAGGAAATCAGTCAGGCAAATACATATGCACACACATACACACATAATAGATCTTGAATTCAGTGTCTCAACATGCCTGGCGAAGTCACTTCTCTGTTCTGCATATGCTGTATGGTTAAATTAGCAGCAAAGCTAATGAGAGCAGTCATTCTTGAAAATGATGATGGTATTAGCCATTCATTATGGAGAGTCTTACTCAATGCCAGAGATTGTCTTGGGCCTAAAAGTACATCTTTCTCATGTCAGCTCAGTGAGGTAGATGCTGTTGTCATCTCCATTTTATCATTTAATTGTCTCAGCCTCCCTCTGTTCTGTGTCCTGCTGTACTCCCTGCTGCCGCTCACCTGATTTCCCTTTTGACCTGGACCTACGTGAGTGAGTGGATTCAGAGAAACTTAGTGTCATCTTGACCCGCTTTATTTCACATTCATGTTCTGATCTCTCTGTTCCTTAACCACGGCAAGGTGAATTTACCTCTCTATAAATGGCAGTTTCCCAGGTCACATCAGTTTATTAATTTATTCATGCCTCTGTATTCATTCATTCAGTCACTCATTCTTATATCCAGCATTTGTTGAGTGCTCCTCTGCACCGGGCACTGCTGACTTTGGAATTACAAATTGGGGCTCTCCACACATTTCTGTGCTGGAGAAAGATGTATACTGAGACAGCTGCAGCTTCATCTGTGTCACACTCAAGGGAAATGTAGGATCTTGTTGAGCCATAGAAAAGGGCCACCCAATCCCCTGTGAAGGTGGGAGGCCAGGGCAAGCTTCCTGGAGGAGATAACTCACACATCCAGTCATGAAGAAGGGATGAGAAGGATGAGGGCTGTTTTTGACACCTGGTTTTCTCAGTATTCGTCACTTCACTGTTTTCTTGTTAGCAGCATGGTGGAAAAGTCAGAGGCCAGCCTGTACAAAGTCACCTACTGCGTCTTCATAGCACACCCCTGCTTTTCCTTCTATCTTCCTGCTCCCCAAGTCTTAGATTTTGAGGAGTCTATTCTCTCTGTATCTGCTTGTTCAATTTTTATTCTTCATTCACAGTGATTTTTTGTGAACCTACTAGGTGCGTGACGCTGTGAGTGCAGGATGTATGTCCTGGTTATTGTCATCAAGGGAGGTCTTACCCTGTCCTCACCAGGCACAGCTTCTAGCGGTTTTTGGTTCTTTGAATTTTTCCAGAAGTCCAGCCAGACTTCTTCCCATGAAGCACCTGCAGAGAAGCCTGGTCTTGGACAAAGCCTTCCGACAATGCTGCTTTCTTTAATCAGTGTATCTCTTTATCTTCTTTATCAGCCCAGAAAATTCCTGGAAGGCAGGAACTGCGTCTTCATCTTTTCTGTACATGGCATTGTTGTACACTGGAAAGTCTGAATGATTTTCCAATGTTGCCCACTATTCATGCTTTCCATATGAATCGCCCTAGACCTCACATCCTTGAAAATTGAGTACCGTCACATTCATTCATAGGTAAAATTTTATCTTCCCTCAGTGAGGTACACGGTCGTATAGGTAATTCACAGCACAGTGTAGCATCAAATTTAGCTTTATATGGTCCTGAACCTTGATCATTTCTCTATATCATTGCTTTTCAAACTTGGCTAGTGTCACCTGGAAAGATTTTTCGGCTTTTTGCTCTTTAGTTCTGAAGTCTGACTCTTCTCCCTAGCAGTTCTGATTGGCTGTTCCAGGGGATGGTTTGGGCTTTGGGATTTTTGTAAATTTCCAGGCAAGTCTCCCAGGCAGCCAAGGTTGTGAACCCGCCTCAGAACCAGTTTGCCTTCCTGTATCCATGAGCCGCAGCTGTTGGTGGATGTGAGGGCCTGAGCTGACATGTGCGAATATCCATGTGGCCACACTGCAAGTTCTTTGTAGTCAGGGATCGCTGGCCCTCTCTACTGCTTCCCCACCCAGCCGTCACACTGCCCCATGCACGTGCACTGCCAAGGGTTGTTGACTCTTTCATCAGTCTCTTGGTTCTGGTGTCTCATGCAGGGGATAGGCAGTTGGAATTTGATCACATCCAGCTGTTTTCATCTTTAGAGTCTGTTGAAATAGCTGAATCTTCTTATAAACATGCTGAGCACATTTGCTGGTCTCAAGAGTGTTGCTGGGTGACCTGGGTCTTTTGAAAGTTCAGCCTGGGTCAGCCTCCCACACTTTCATTGCCCTGCGTGGGAGCGAGGGGGCTGTTTTGGAACTCCCTCAGCATCATGCTTTGTACTGCTCTCTCTGCCTAGGAGGAATTTGTGGCCCAGGTGGTCGATAAGGGTTAGCTTATGTGTTTATTCTGCTCTGTGAAGGTTTTTGAGGTCTTTTTTGGCCCCTCATGTTACAGGTAAGGCACTGCAAACACCAGCTAGGTGAAATGATGTAGCAAATACATGGACACAGAACCGAGTTTTCTGACTCCCGTTGTATTGTGGTACTTTTACTATTGCTACATAATAGTCAACATCTATCTTTTCACATTAGGCCTCAAATGAAGCTGCCTGCTTCCTCACTTTTCTCCCTACCGTAGAGGAAATAGGATGCTCTGGATATTGCTTTCTGCCCCTGGGAAGACAGTTCTAGTGCCTAGGGGTCCTGTTTACTTCTCAAGCATAGCTTGGGGATGGCCCTGACATCCCTGTGCTGTTCCTGGACCCACAGGCTAGATACTTCTGGAATCTTCTCAGATACTGCTGGAATCTGCTCAGCCCGACTCCAGTCTATTAGCGTTATTACTCAGCTGCTCAGTCATTCACTGAGCAGTAGTTCTGTGCCTCGGCCCTGACTTGGGTATTGGAGACACTAAGGTAAAGCACAGATTGTGTGTCCTTATAAGCACAGTCTAGTGGAAGTAAATTGTAAATTGTAACGTATAAGTAAATTGTTTCTTAAAATAGGGTTTCCAGATCCCGAGCATTAAAGACATATATGTTCCTTATTAAAGCGTAGACTTGTGGCCACTGACTCTAGAACCACTATTTCGAATCTTCATGGATTAGGGCCAAGAAACTGCATTCTAACATATGCTCCCTAAGTGAGTCTTAGGTGCGCTGAGCCTTGGCAACCACAGAAAGGAGCCCGATGGTGACAGGATAGTGTCACCTGTGATGGGGAGCACCAAGAAGGTGGCAGTTCGCAGGAGCACTGATTCCGAGGAGGTACACTAGCAGGCCTAGGAAACAGCTGCTGGGTAGCATGAGGAAGCCCTAGGTGTTAGCCACGTCAGTGCATAGGAGAATCATTTCTCTAGAGCTGTGAATTGTGTTTGTGTATTCTTTATAGAACTCTCTACAATATTACTGAACTTCCCTTGAAGTACAACATATGTGGATCATGAGAACCGGTCCACTTGTTACTTTATCTCTACACATGGCACTTTTAGCTCCCATGATTAAGTCCTGGCCTCATTACAGCTCACATGGTAGCTCCATTTTCAGATTAAAGCTCTACAGCATTTTTCTTCAGGTAAATGATTTGGGTGTGTAAAGTTTGCCCCTTTGAGGTCATTTAGTGCCTGTGTGTATAGGTCATAATTCTGCAAATGACTGTCTGGCAGGCCGTGTAGGTTTGCTAAGATGTTTTTATCTTAATGTACAAAAGGAAGAATTTAGGTTAATAGGAAGATGCTGTGGAAGGGGAAGAGGTGGGCAATGAAATGAAATAAGACAAAAAAAGGCTATCAGATCAGCGTCGGAATGTCTTTCTCAAGTACCTCCTCAGAAACCTCTTATTTTGCAGATGAAGAAATTGAGGTCCAGGAAGACGGTGTGAAATACCCATAGGATACCACCAGACACAGCCCCCAACTCTAGAGACTAACCAGTGATTTTTATCTGTTTTACACCACTAGATTGAAACCTCTTCTGAATGTGCTGGAAGGACTTATTGTTCAATTGCAATCTGTGTGAAGCCCTTTAGCAATCAAATCATTGAGTAGGGTAGATTTTTAAATACATGCTTATGTATTTTCCTAAGGTGTGGCAGACATAGGCCTTAAAGCTCCATACCCATGTTTTGTTTCAAAATCAAATGTGTCTGTGTCTGTGGAAGCACTTTGATATGCACACTGCTCTGTACTAGTGGTTCTCAAAGTGCAGTCCCCAGGCCGGCAGTATCAGCATCATCTGTGCTTTTGTTAGAAATGCAGATTCTTCAGCCTCCTCCTAGGCCCATGAAATCTGAAACTCTGGGGCTGGGGTCTGGCAGTCTGTTTTAACAAGTCCAGCAGGTCATTCTGATGCTTGTTAAAACTGGAGAACTGTTGCTTGCTCTTGCAGGAGCCCAGCCCTTGTAGCCTATGGGAATAAGCCTTTTAATGGTGATTTTCATTGTGTGAGATGGCACTGGGGAGACAGGAGCAGTGGAGTCAGTGTTGCAAATCTCAGGTGGGATGGACGAGGCCATTTAAAAGACTTGGCTCTTTGTTTAGAAAGCAAGGAAAAGCTGTGTGTAACAGCATTGTTCCACTGTTTGAGTTTAGGAGCACGTGCTGAGTGTGGATCAACATAGTATGTATCAGAAAGCAATTTTTTAATGTCTCTCCTGATAACTCACAGCTCCCCTGACTCATTTCTCTGCGTGCTTAAGCCAGAAGCTTGTGGTCATCCATGGGTTTAAAACAAGGCAATCAGTATTATGATATTTTTCTCCATCTGCCTTACAGTGCTGTTTTTTTTTTTTTTTTTTTTTTTTTGGTGGGGGGATCACTTATTCAGTGAAAACAAAATACCATTTTTTTGGTAGAATTGAAGCTTCAGGATTTCCTGGTGGACAATGAAACCTTCTCTGGATTCCTGTATCACAATCTGTCTCTCTCAAGACCTACTGTGGACAACATACTAAGGGCTGACGTCCGTCTCCGCAAGGTAAGCTACCACTGTTAACCTTCCTTAGTGGGGGCCCATGGCAAGTACATTGTTTGAGTCCCTGAGAAATGAATAAACCCCTATACTGGTAATATGGTAAAGGAAGTAGTTCTCTTGAATTCAGCATCACTTAATTTTACTGCCTGGCTCAGTAAACCTTGCATAGAGCTGAATGTGCAACCTGGCATCAAAGGCCAGCTGATAGAAACAAAACTTATTTCCTGGCTGTCGGGTGGCATTTGTGATAACTTCCTCCTAATGTGGTTACATTTGAGATTTAGGTGAATTAAACTTAAAAATTTCTTCATGGTTCTAGGAAAAGAATCAAAAGTTGAGGATTACCACTATGTGTCTGTATAATCGTAGACAGGAGATTAAAAAAAACAAAACTGAATACTTCTTTTAATAAAACATTTTAAAAGTCTGGAAGTATTATTGGTATTTATATTCAATTTTAATGTAAGATTCTTAGAGAACTTCCTCATATACCTTCTTGCAGATTGCATGGTTATCAGTTTCTCAAAGATGCTTCCTGAGCTGATTCTCTGGCATAAAGGGGAACTGCTTTCTGAGTCTGTCTCGTGTCTGTATGTTAGCTTGTCTTGATAATAAGCAGAAGTTATGGAAACGTTTGTGCTTGAAAATAAGTTCTTTGCTTCACATGATCAGGAATTTTTAAAATTAGAAAAATGTGCGCACTGCCTACTGTTGTGAAAGTAGGAAAATATGCCTCGTGTTTACCAATTGTGTGGTTGGGAGGTGGGCCAGAGGCAGCAGGCTTTGAAAATAGTTGCGTTTAGCACAATTTCCATTGCCCCCTGCCAATTTGATACCTGTCATATCCCATCAACTTGAAATAAGGGGCATCCTAAGGATGGAAGTAATCCTTGTATGGTAATTAGAGTTTCTGTGTTGTCAGTGATCTTGGACACGCTCACTAAGCTGATGGTCTGACAGCAAGGACAAGTTAAAGGAACAAAACTGAAGTGCATTTGAGGGGGAGTAGTGTAAATGTAATGGGAACCACTGCAGGCCAAATGCTCTGCGGTGTTTCAGAAGCTATGTGGGTTTGAGAGGCCTTTTGTCCATAACCCACATTAGATTCTTCTCCAACCAGGACAGGCTACACTAATTTAAACTAACAGAAGAGTTAATGGTGGTATAGTAAAGAGTCCGCACCATTCATTCAACAAAGATACATAGCTTGTATTTTTTCAGCACTGTGGCTGCAAAGTGAGCACAATAAACAAAGACCCCTCTTCTTATAAAGGCTGTTATCTAGTGGACAGTAAGGATAATATATGAGGAAGCACAGTTTATTTAGGCCCAGAAAGGCAAATTAGATAAACCAGATATGACCAAGGAGGGGCTTCCTAGTGGGTTTGCTATAGTGCACAGAAGGCCAAAGGCCTGACTTTCCAGCACTGTATTCTAGGATAAGTAAAATGGAAAATTCCAAATTCTGACATTATTTGAATATGGTTCTATGTATTGATGAAATAACTATAACTGGATTTAAATAATATGCTTTGTCTATAATTTAGTTCAGTCATAATTTAAGATATAATCTCCCCAGTAATGAAGATGTTTTTCCTTTATTAGAAATGGTTCTGTAAATTTAGACTCTGAATTCCTTTTCACTGAATCATGTGTTCTAGTATAGGGGAAAGAATTGGACTCAGGATTTCCCTTTGCAAGATGTGGGAGATACGAGTACAAAACATCAGGCAGGTTTCAAGTGTACTGTCAGATCCTGCTTGGTTCATCCTGAAGTTCAATAAAGAGACCCAATGCACTGAACTATTACAGTAGTGTCCTTTTTAAGATCTTCGAAACTATCTCGATGTGAGTGAGGTTCCCCAAGGTCTTCAGGGACCTAGCTTCCCATCATTGTAATCCTCTTTTGCTTTTTCTGTCTTTGCATGAAATGCTTCCAGGTATTTTTGCAAGGTTATCAATTACATTTGGCCAGTACGTGCAATGGATCAAAATTAGATGTGATTAAACTTGGTGACCCTGAAATTTCTGAGCTTTGTGGTCTAGCAAGGGAGAAACTGGATGCGGCGGAGTGGATGCTTCGTTCCAACATAGACGTCCTGAAACCCATCGTGGTGAGTACACTTGCTCTGGGGAGAAACCTCAAGCACTGGTGTTTTTAGAATGTGACATTTTTCCTTGGACAGCATAACTTTGTTTTTGTAGAAACACTGAGCTGCCAGGGAGTTTGTGATACAATTTAACTCAGTGGTATTTTAAGTATTTTTTCAAACTTCTGGGAGATCTCCCAAGGATTGAATAGAGGAAGAATGTGCTGGGTGTGGCTGAATCCAAGCCCAAGGTCCCTTGTGCTCATTTTCATTGGAGAAGGCCTGCCTGCTTTTTCATGTTTTATTATAATTCTGAGTAAGAGTTCATTGGAAGAGTTTCCTAGATTAAAAAAAAGTTTCAGAACTGTTGATGAGAAAATGGCTATTAAATCATGTTTAATTCATGTTAGAAGGAGACATCGTGAATTAACAGGAGAGGAAAACCCTGGAATGGGATAGTACCATACACAATAGCTTCATCAGTGACAAAGCTGTATTCAAAGAAAAGGAATGCTGGAAAAGTGTTAGTAGCCTAGGAACCCATCATTTATAGAAGTGCTTCAGGAGAATGCACATTCTTTCTTAACCAAATAGGGCAGGTGAGCATGTTGTTCATCAGAGAATTGCATAGAGTAATTCCATAATAAACATGTCTGTAGGTTTTCTGAGAGCTCTGGTGAAAGCCCGTTCAACTGAATCATTTAACAGCTCCTGTTCTGGTTTCCTGCTTAGCAGAAGGGCTCTGATGTGTCAGTAGGTTCTCTTAAAACCAGGGAAAGAGCCCTGGAGGAAGACTGTGCCTGAAAAGAGATGATCCTCATTATAGTAAAACATAATTGTAATACCCTTGGGCTTTGTGCAGCATGATTTCTTTATAGAGAATCAGATCCTCCCAGGGGTCCTAAGAATGTTCAGTTTCTGGACCTTTGCCTAGATCGTACCTTAGAATGTGACTTTAGGAACACATCTTAGGTTGTAACTTTGGTCTGACCCAAGAAGTGCTTTTATGCTGCTGACTCTGATGCTGCAGCTGCTGCCTGAGACAAGGGAGTAAAACCAAGCTTCTGGATACCTCGGTGGTGGGCACCCAAGTCAGTCATGGGGACCAGTTCTGAAGGCCTGCTTTTGTTTAATTGTGAAGTAGTGCATTCTATTTCTGTTGTTTTTTTTTTTTTTTTTAATACTACTGAGTGTTTTGTTCTGTGATCTGTGATTCTGTTGGTTAATATTTCTATATTATAATTTGAAGTAAGGTGTTTATGGGGATGTTTACTATCCCATAATAGGTAAGTGCACTTGTACCAGCATTGGCTCCCTTTGGGCACGTTTTTGTGGGGATTTTGCAATGTGAGACATAGAGGGTCAAGGTTATTACAAATGGTACAAAAGGTTGTGGTATAAAACCATTTTCTTGGGATGTTTTGGGTTGTTTTACTTCATTACAAGACAGAAATATGTATTTACTGTCCAAATTTTGGAAAGATGAGTGTTTTTAGAGGACACAGTTGTTTATTCTAGTACCCATTCAATCTGTTTCACTTCTGTTTTCTCATTGAACACCTGTTGTGTACACAACCCTGTAAAATTCTCTCAACTCACAGAATGTCTGAACTACATGCAAAGTAGAATGTGATTACAGCCCCCATTACCTGACAACTGCTCAGATGTCAACCTGAAAACTTTCTCTCCATTTGGGAGATTAGTGATGTGGCAGAGTACTTGGGAATGCACCTTTGGACCTGTCAGCCGCTACATCCCATTTGTGTCCTAGTTGTACCTTGTGGATCGGTTGGTTCACTGGCAGGTGTTGAATATGGTGGCTCCAGGTGCTTCCTGTACATCTCTTGGGTGTATGAGGCATCTGCATTGTGCTTCTGCCCCTCTGCTGTTGCTGAGAAATGTCTTTCTGTAAAGTCAGAAAATGGGGCTTTCAAATTAGGTGATAGTGAGTGGTCAGGATGTTCTGGGTAAAGGTGATTTTGGAGGACAGCACCGGTTGGAATGTTGGAATGTTATTTATTGTTCTTCCACCATGTTGGAATGTTATTTATTGAATTAAGCACAGCCTTAATTGGAGTGCTGGGACTGGTATTTGATTCACAGTGAGAAGGCTTTTTCTCCTGCCACTTGGTTGAAATTTTAACATTTGCGATGTTAGGTGGATATGACATGTGAGATCATTGCACACGGGCAGTTACTTGTGCCCAGAATTGCAACGGAAGCAGCAGCCAGATGCCAAGCTCAATATCTTGAGGGAAAACTGTTTTGTCGATATGAGTTTCAGTACCCGAGGAAGGACATACTTTGAAACAGTTTTCCTCATCGTATCATTTGTATGAGTGTGTGTGTGTGTGTGTGTGTGTGTGTGTGTGTGTTTTCCCCGTTTTTCAGCCAAGGACATTCTGAGCCTTTCTCTTGTGATCCTCCAGTCTCTGGACAACACCTGAATAATAGTGTTTGGATAACTTGAGGAAAACCTTGCAAGTTTGTAAGAGTTTTACAAGGCTGAAATTAAGGTGTTCATTTTTCTTTTCCTTTTCCTTTCTTTCCTTTTACTTTCTTTTTCCTTTTCTTTCTTTTTGTGGTAGTACTGGGAATTGAACCAGGGACTTTGCACTGAGATACATTCCCCACCTGTTTTGTTTTTCATTTTGAGACAGGGTCTCACTAAGTTACTGAGTTGCATAGGCTAGGGCTCAAACTCATGATCCTCTTGCCTCAGGCTTCCGGAGTGCTGGAATTACAGGTGTGTGGCACCATACCTCAGTTGTGTTCCTTTTGGAAGTCCTGAAAGTGAATCACTTTCAAAATTAAAGTATCAGCCAAATTTCGTTTCTTGCAGTTATAGTATGAAATCTGTCTCCTTGCTGTCAGCTGTGAAGGGGGAGGAGGTCTCTGCTCTTAGAGGTACCAGTGTTTCCCCTTATCTCTCCTATGTGTTCCCTGTTCAGCATATGACATTATAGTGTAAGTCTTTCTCTTCCTCTGCCACATTTCTCTGCCTTCAGAAAGAGAGAGTTGTGTGCTGTTAAGGGCTCATATAATGAGACTATGCATCCAGATAATCCAGAATGGTCTCCTTATTTTAAGGTCCATAACATTAATTATATTTACAAAGTCCATTTTGCCATGTAATGTAATATAAATGTAATATAAATTATAGCTTTCAGAAACCAGAGTGTCAACATTGTTGGGGAGCTGTTCACCCACCATAAATGTTTTTTGATTGGAGGGTGGATTTCTTTATGACTTTGTGGTGACCCCTCAGTACCCTAGGCTTTTATTGATCTCTTTCCAGCTCTCTGCCTTTTCTTGCCCATATCCTATGACTGACTCTGGTGCAAAATAAACTTTACCTGTTAGCGTTTTTAATGTACAAAGAGAGGTGAGAAGGACAGCATTTCTGAACAAGGCATGACAACTGATCCAACTAAATCAGTGAATCTTTACTGCATGTCTGCTTTGTACCAGGCACTGTTGTAGGCACTAATGTTTCAACCATGGACAATGTGCATGAGATGCACATGTGTGGAGCTGCCGTTCCAGTGGGCACTCCAAACCAGCTTTAAGGCTGAGCCTGGCCATTTGAGAAATTCTCCATAGGTTCTGAGGCTTGGGGAGGTAGTGCTGTCCTCTCATCTGGGTTTCATTGATGATTTCCCAGCTGCTCCTCGAGAGCAGTTCTTGCCAACACAGGACACTGTGAGAGTCACTGGGGAGAATGTGAGATTGGAGTTAAGTAGGTTCGGACTTCCCGACTCATCGTTGTCTCAATGATGTGAAAATGGTGTTTGATCTCTGAGGTTATAAGGACAGGTGTACAGCTTTCTCTCCCTCTTCATAATGCCTTGGGTGCCACACACACAACTGTGTGGTTAGATCATCTTGTTCTGCTCTAGGGAACAGAGTTTCTTTGAATGTCTTCTGATGTATGTAACACATTCCTACCAGCGTGGAATGTGCCCTGAGTTCCCTCGAAGGCCGTGATCTTCTGGCTGGGCTGTGTATAGACTGATTGCCCAGGTGGGTGAGAGGTGAACAAAGTCACCATTGTCTTTGGTGAAGGGTCTTTGGTGAAGGGTCTTTGGTGAACTCCCTCTTGATTCTTAGACTGGGATTTGGAATACAAATGAGGCTTGGTGTTATTTGCTGCCTCCTAGCCTTTCAGGGCTACGCACTTCAGCTTGTCCTTGAAGCATCTGTGTTGGTTTCTGCAGAGGAGAACACTTATTGCTCCTCTCCTCTTGCCTGAAATTTAGACATTTGTCAGAACTATCTGTTTTGTTTGGCTTTATTTGATTTTACTGCCACCTGTTTACCAAATAAGCTTTCTCCCCTTAAGCATTCTACATCCTCAGCTTTTGATATTCAGTGCAGTATCATGCTGTGCAGATCTCCTCTTCAACCTCTATGTTTACCTAATTCCTATAAGAAAAGGGGAGCACAGAACTGAGGGATACGTTTGTGAATTTAGCATTGTGCTAGTATGACTACTCAATTCCATCACCACAGACATTTCTGCTTTAATTATACTCTTTTTGCTTAAAAGTGTTGCCATTTCTAAGATAAATGCCATTTCTAAGATTCTAACTTATGCTAATACATGTATTTATCCAAGTTTATAAATAGCACAAAAATGATGTTTTTAATGCATACAGTACATCAAATTTAGAAGGAAATATTATTAAACTGTTTTTAAAGGATTAGTAACTTCCCCATTCATGACTTTTGTAATTTTCTACTTTAATTCAAAAAATTAAACTGTTCCTCAAAGGAAGTATTCATTGTCATGTAAATCTTTGGAAACAGGTAGGTACTGCTTCTGGGTAGTGATGGCCTCTGCACCCGGCGTGTGGCTTGTTGCTCTTCACTTTGAACTAGAATGTATTAACCTGGCCCCTAAATTGGGTTTTCTGCACATGGGCAAAATGAGTAGAGATTTGTATCCACTTTATGAAAGTATTGAAAGGAAGTTTGGAATATTTCAATAATAAATTTATAAATGCATCTGCTGGAGGAAAACA